CATGAATTGTAAAATAACTGGATAGGAAACTCTGTGACGTTATTGACTCAACCTTGTTGAAAAACGTGACGTCACGCGTATTGCCAAAGTTCTCAGCATTTTTGTTGTTTTGCTATATTTTCTGCTTTAAAAGAGTAATATTGAAGCATAAACTGGTCTAATTGTTTTAAAAACATGCCTATAAGCCACAACAAAGTATTCAAGGTAAATGTTTTTCGTCTTTGTTTTTTATTTTTTTACATTTGTAGCTACGAAATTGGCACCGCCAATTTTAAGAAATTTCACTGTTACGTGCTTGAAATATGTGCTAAAATTGATTGGGAATACTTAGAGATTTCATCATAGAATGGCGTAGTTATATTTATTTGCTGTTTGACTAAAATGTTTAGCTGTGTTATTGCTAAACATGACGTTATTGAGAATTTGGTTTGCAACTAGGTTTGAACATCCAACCACGCCATCAGCCCATGTATTGACAACAATAGGTCACGTCAGCTATTCGTCAGCTCTATAGTTTCCTATCCATTTATTTTATTATCCATGTATATATATATATATATATATATATATATATATATATATATATATATATATATATATATATATATATATATATATATATATATATATATATATATATATATATATATATATATATATATATATATATATTAGGGATAGTACATTTATTACACCGAGGGAGGGGGATGAAGATGTCTTGAAAAACGCTCATATTTTTACAGGGCCCCTGTTGAGGTTATCGGTAAATTTCGATGCCCCCCTCCAAGTTTTTAAAATTTTCAATGCCCCCCCCCCCTCTAGAATTCGGAATCGAAGGGGTACAATTCGGAATTCTCTCTTATCATAGATACAATTTGCAGTTCCTCAAGATGTCTGATATACTCAAGTGCTTCTCCTCAACAAAACTACCGATCTGCTGCTTCTTTCATCTCACTAGCGCCAGATGAAATGGCACTGTCTTTAAAACATTTTAAATTGGCTCTAGGGGTGGAATTATCAACAGGTTGTTGTCCATCATTCAGCGTATTCGGAGTCTTGAACACGTTCATGTAGTGGCCAGGATTTCCTGGATCAGGGTAATGTGCTGGAACCTTACAGTATGTTGCCCCCACCCAACGTATCTCCCGGCATCTGTTGCAAATGTCTTTGCATGCCTGTCAAAATGCATGCAAAAGTGCCAGTATGCTTCAATTTCTTTAATTTCCATCCCGTTTGTACGAAATATCCCATAAACATAGAACATATCATTCTTGCAAATTGTATATGCTTTTTTGCTTTTTGGCGCGTAAATTACTTCACAAACCTGGCGCAAAAAAAATTAAAATAAGCTATAGGTGATTTCATGTATCCATTTAGAAGAGCAGACTAAGGATATCTTAAAACTGAAATCGGTTTCGAATACAACCATCAGGGACGTAGCAAAGCATCTGACATTTGGGGTGGGGTATGTCAGAGGATTATACGTGTAATAATTATAATAAAGCTTTTTGTGATTGATTGGCACTCTTATACTAAGTTTTGGGAGAAAAGGGGGGTCTGGGGGTCCTCCCCCAGAAAATTTTTACATTTTCGAAGCTCTAGGACTGAATTTCTGGCGTTTTCTAAAGCAAATTTCGCAAACAAATTACATGTAAATTGACTGTATTTTACAAAAATGGTTATCATTTCACAAAAATAATTACTTTATTACGAAAATTTTACCCGAAAATGTAAAAATTTTAACTTTAATTTACTGAGGTCAAACCTTTGAAAAGTTTAGAGCCCCCCCTTCAGTATATCAAGAACTTTCAGAGCCCCCCCTTTAATGCCAGAAAATATTTCGGAGCCCCCCCTTAACATCTTCATCCCCCCCTCGGCATAATAAATGTACTTTCCCTTAGATCAGGTTTGTCACAACTGTTTTGACTTAACAATAATGGGATTATTTCTATATTGTACAATATTTAGTGTACATTATAGACTTGCCAAAAGTCGACCGTGGGGGAGGGAGGGCGCGGGAACACGCGACCCGAGCGACGAAGTCGCGAGTGGTCGACTTGTGTCCCTTGCAGGAATTTAAATCGCATTAAAAATTTTGGCGCGAATAATTTTGACATAAAAGGGGTGTGTACATTTCACACAATTCACCGCGCCGACAATGGGTCTACAAAAACACAAAAACATTCCCAAGAATTGATATTTCTTTGTGCTCGAATCAGAAACAGTTTGCCACCGAGCAGTGGCGGCGCCAGGGGGGGTGGGGGGCAAGGGGGGGCAAATGCCCCCCAAATTTATTTTTTGCCCCCCCCCCCATTTTGCCCCCCCTCAAAAAAATTATTAGTCACTAAGAGCGACTAAAGGCTACACAAGCGTTTTGTAGTTATCGGAAAATGTATGGCTTATAAGTTGTCATTACTCATTAGTGAATGCGCGTATACATGAAACTGTTTTTTACAGTTTCAATATTAGTTTGTAAATCTCTGAATTGTAAAACTTGCCAATACTCCAATAATACGTTCCAAAAAAAGACAAAAAAGCTTTAGTTTTGCAGAGTTAAATTCTCAAACGTGTAAGGCATTAATAAGATGAAAGTATCACGAAATTATTTGAATAAACCACATCGCATATATGGGGGGCGAATTTCCTAAAGAGGGGCGATATTCCTAGGGTATTCGCCCCACCCCCCTGGGAGGCGATATCGCCACGTTTTGAGGGGGTTCGAATCTCCTGAGGGGGGGGCGACCTTTTCAAAAATTCTATCTTGACCCCCCAAAATTTGAGTTTGTCCCTCAAATGCCGCCCCAAATTTGGAGGCCTGGCGCCGCCACTGCCACCGAGTGTGGAAACGAAATAACTGACCCAAGTAAACTGACCTAAGTATTCTCGTCTACATTTTGATGATGGTATTATTAAGTAAGGCGAAGAATTTATGAATATATCCAGATTGTTTGGCTATGGCCCAAACTTCTTCATTTCGTTTGTTTCTTCTTCATGTACACTTTTAGTCCGCGACGGCCCTTGAAAAGAATAATTTGTTCATAATTCCTGCCCTGAGCAGTTTCCTGGAAACGAATCTACAATCATGATTTTTTCTGTGTTGGTGTAATGTACTCAGGTGAATATGATGCTTGTGATGTTACTGTGAATGTATATCCACACCGGGCAAGCTTGAAAAATATGCCTGACCACGGCGGGAATCGAACCTACGACCTTTGGAATACTAGCTCAATGCTCTGCCAACTGAGCTACGCGGTCAGGTTGGTTCGCCGGAGTATGTGATATTTCGAAACAGAATCTAGTTCCTTCACAATATCAATGTAATCTGGTAAGCATGATTTTTTCTGCGTTGATGTAATATATTCAGGTGAATATGATGCTTGTGGTGTTACTCTGAGTGTATATCCACACCGGGCAAGCTTGAAAAATATACCTGCCCACGGTGGGAATCGTACCTAAATACTAGCCCAATGCTCTGCCAACTGAGCTACGCGTCAGGTCGGTTCGAGTATGTGATATTTCGAAACAGAATCTAGTTCCTTCAATATCAATGTGGATATACACTCAGAGTAACATCACAAGCATCATATTCACCTGAGTATATTACACCAACACAGAAAAAAAACATGATTACCAGATTACATATTTACATTGATATTGAAGGAACTAGATTCTGTTTCGAAATATCATTAACTCGAACCGACATGACCGCGTAGCTCAGTTGGCAGACCATTGGGCTAGTATTCCAAAGGTCGTAGGTCCGATTCCCACCGTGGACAGGCATATTTTTCAAGCTTGCCCGGTGTGGATATATACACTCAGAGTAACATCACAAGCATCATAATCTACAATCATTTAATTCCGAAAGTTGTTGTGACACTTATTGGGTTTACTCCAAAGTAAGATACCAACTCAGATCCAACATTGAAAAGGTGGGAGGGGGTGTCGGCGTTTGCCAAAATAATAAGTAGTTGGGGCATCTATCCAAACACATTTGAAAATTTTGTAGTATCAATTATCTTAATTAGAGATTTAATTTTATGCAACCCCATCCCAAGATGAAAAATATAGCTATAAAAACGGTCAGAATATAGGACATATGACGTAAATATCTAATAAAAAGTTTCCATTATTGTTATTATTATTATTATTATTATTATTATTATTATTATTATTATTATTATTATTACTTCAGTCTACGTTACATCAACAATTCTTTGCCTACTAGGAAAAACCTAGTTAAATGGGGACTGTCATCATCTGCTGACTGTTCGTTCTGCTTTCTACCCTGAATCGCTTTTGCACATAATCTCTGGATGTAAGACATATCTAAACGAAGGGAGATATACATGGCGACATGATTCAGTTTTGAATCTCATTGCGTCCAGCCTTCTCGACGTCGGAAGGTCCAGAATGTATGTAGATCTGCCTGGATTTATTAGCCCATCTGTCATCACTGGTGACGAGTTACGACCAGACCTTCTATTGACAATTGAAAATAAGATTTTGTACATTCTAGAATTAACTGTTGGATTCGAAACAAACCTGAAAACTAACTCAGATCGAAAACATGAAAAATATTTGACTCTAATTACCGATCAAGAAAATATATATGATGAAGTTAAGTTTGTTAATGTATCTATAAGCTCTTTAGGTGTATTTGGTGAATCGACGAATACTTTATTTGATATGCTCCATGATCTGAGGTACGACGAACAATGTATTAAATATGTAAAAAAGAAAATAATTGCTACTTGTATTCGCACGTCGTATTATATATTCTGTAGACGAAACAAAGACTGGAACAACCCAGAACTTTTAAACTTTTAACTAAATTTAAAAGATTTTCACCTGTATATATATTTTAGCTTTAAACTCAATTCAAGTGGTCATCGATAAGCTACCTTTTATTAAGTGAGGTTTATCAATGTATATATAGTATATCGTAAATATCTAATAAAAAGTTTCCATTATTATTATTATTATTATTATTATTATTATTATTATTATAATAATAATAATCCGAAAAATAAAATTCTACTATACAGTCGTTACTTGCTGTCAAAGATATCCTGGGACTTCACTGTTTCTGATATACCTAAGACCTGGATCTGCGAAACGTTAGACAGTATTGCGACAAAATATATCCGAAAATGGCTGGAACTTCCCGTCTCTGCAACCCTTAGCAACGTGTTGCTTCCACAAAACAAATTTGGTCTGAATATTATTCTCCCTTCGACAAAATTTATCCAATGTCAAACTGTCTCTCGATCAGCTTTAAAATACTCACCAAACGTAGATATTAACAATCTATGGGCGGTGACGAGCACCAACAAGAACGTACAGTATGATATTTACAAAGACACAAAAGACGTACTTAAGGCAGTTAGAAAAGAAAACGAACAAAGACTTCAAAACCACCTCATTTCGCAAGGTTCTTTCTTTTCCAGTATCATGAATCATTCCACATCCACATTCAACTCTTTATGGTCATCCGTTCAGAGCAAACTTCCGAAAAACATTTTTAACTTCACCATCCGATATATCAATAACACACTTCCAACACGAAAGAACCTATCAAAATGGGGACTATCATCAACATCCGATTGCTCTTTCTGCTCCTCACCCGAAACGCTGCTCCATGTGATTGCTGGATGTAAGACATATTTAGACGAAGGCCGGTTTACATGGCGACACGATTCTGTTTTAAATTTCCTCGCATCCACTCTTACTGCTGTGAAAAATTCCACACTTTACGCGGACATTCCTGGTTTTATGAATCTGTTACGAAAGTATTAAAAATAGTATAAAAATAGTTCAATTTGCACCCCAGGTAATTATAGATACTTGCTACGTCAAATGGAGAGATAATGAGCATTTTTGCTGTAAAACTCAGATAAAGTATATATCATTTCGGACTTGTGTAAAAGTGTCAATTATCTGTCCATTAGGCAAGATAAATGATTTGTCAAACTGTCAAAGTTGGACGATAGCCTTGCATGGTGGGCTGTTGTGTTTACATAATTCAAAGTCCAAGGCTGGTTCGTCTCTGACATGAAAATGTGCATGCTTAGGGCCTTTCTGTCAATCATTCTTCGGTATATTTCGCGCGGTTGAGTAATGATAACATTACGTCATCAAAATCTTGGTTCAATAAAATTGTAAGTAAATTTAATTTAGTAGGTATAGTAAGGTTCACATAGATATAGTTTGAAGTTTTTACTATGATATTTTGATGAGTATTTTAAGTTGTGAACATGTTGTAATGATGATCGATTGAACAGCGAACCAACTCGACCAGTGCGACAACGCCTTAAATAAACAGAATGTGAGAGCTGGAACGAGCTAACAACGCCAACCCACACCTTCAAACCTCAACGTTGATTGGCTGGATACAAATCACACCACTTGCTACATCACGTGTGTAAAGATCTCTCCACCGTTAGTATAAAAGGGCGTGCACAACCCAAATTCGTCAGTGGATTCAACGAAGTAAAAATTATGTATGAAAAGTTGTAGAAAGCTCAAACGAAACAAGACAAAACGACAAAGAATACGAACTGAAAACAACGAAGAAAGGCTGAAGGAAGAAGATAACTTTGAAAAGGAACGATTTTAATATTAACATTATAGTGACACTAAATAGGAACATTGTAAACGATTCTCTATACCTCGCGTAGAAAAAGAAATAAAATATACATTTCTAACAAATCCATCTGTTATCACGGGAGATCGTTTACGACCTGACCTTCTGCTGGTGACTGAAAACAGATGTTTATACATCCTCGAGCTTACAGTCGGTTATGAATCCAATCTGCAAGTTAACGCCAATCGTAAGCGTCAAAAGTACCGTGATCTAATCAATGAGCAGAAAGCAGATTATGATAAAGTCAAGTTCGCCAATTTATCCTTGAGTACCCTCGGAGTTTTTGGCCGATCTTCTGAAAATTTCGATGGCATGCTAAGTAGCCTTAAATGTGATGCCAAGTATAGTAAATACATAAAAAAACAAATCGTGAACATATGCATACGAACATCATATTATGTATTTTGTAAACGAAACAAGGTGTGGGATAACCCAAAATTAATGTTAATATAATCCTTCTTAAATTAATTATTGTACAATAAATATATAGTATCAATTCAAGTAGACATTGATAAACTACCCGTAAAGCGAGGTTTATCATTGTAGTTGTATATATCCTAATAATCAATAAATAAAGTTTCCATTATTATTATTATTATTATTATTATTATTATTATTATTATTATTATTATTATTATTATTATTATTATTATTATTATTATTATACGACACGCAAGAACCTTAGCAGATGGGGATTGTCTTCAAGTTCAGAATGCTCCTTTTGTCTTGGCCCAGAATCATTATTGCACGTGGTCGCTGGATGTCAGTGTTATCTCGATCGATTTACGTGGAGACACAATTCAATCCTGAACTTCCTTGCCAATACCTTGCAAACTGTGAACGGTTCTGCCCTCTACGCTGATGTGCCTGGATTCAAAAGTCCTTCAATAATAACTGGTGATACGCATCGCCCGGATTTGTTGCTATCGTTATCAAATGGCTCTCTTTATGTGGTCGAGCTCACTGTTGGCTATGAGACAAACCTCGAGAACAACGTTAATCGGAAAAAAGCCAAATATAAAGAACTAGTAAAACAACTAGACGAAAATTTTAACGAAGTAAACTTTATAAATCTTTCCATGAGCTCCCTAGGTATTTTTGCGCAAGAATGCTCTACATTCTTAGAAATGTTAGGAAATGTTGGTCTGGACAAAAACTACCAAACGTACTGTGTTAGGAAAATGATGACTATTGCCATTCGAAGTACATACTATATTTTTTGCTGCCGAAATAAGGAATGGGAAAGTCCGGACTTGTTAACTATTTGAAATATCTAATTGTCTTGTATATTTATATATTTTCATGTATTCTGTCTTATCATTTTTATTAGTTCATATAGTTGTGATTCAAATAGCCAATTGTAAGTTACCTTAAATTAGTGAGATTTACAATTGTATATATAGTATATAACAAAATTATTAAAGTTTCCATTATTATTATTATTATTATTATTATTATTATTATTATTATTATTATTATTATTATTGTA